TGACTCATTTCCTGCTTTTTGTGAATAGGTGTTGGTTACAAACAGAACAGTACTGTTGTAATTTTTTTTTCTTTACTTAAAAACATTGTTTACTGCTGTGTGTAATAAGTTTAAGGAAGAAATAACCTGCCTGTAGCTGTTACGTGGGGAATAGCTAATACTGGAGAGGCAGCAGGTAAGTAATGTTCCATTGCATAGATATATTAAATCTTAAAATAAAAAAGTGAATTTACAAGCATTTTATGCAGGAACTGATATTTTACTCCACACTGAAATAGATTTAAGGAGACTGTTGCTCTTTTTACACAGAGTGTAATTTCTCACTCGCACATAGATTTCCATTGCTGGCAATGGAAATAGCAGGGAGGGAATAGCAGGGGGAAAATAGCGTAAGTTAAACTGAGCGATCATTGTGATTTGAGAGATGAGGTCCCCGTATGAAGCCCCTTATTTCTGCCTGTTCTCTGAATACTTAGTTTTAACTGATAGATGTACTGTGTTGCAATTCAAATAATACTCTCTTGTTATGGTGAGTTTCATTTGTTAGATTTTTTTAAATGAAACAAAAAAATCTACAGAAAAAATCCAAAGACCCTGATAGACACCAAAAAGGAATATGTCTAGTGCATGTCATGTATAACTGGATCCGTAGTAGAATTTTTACTAGGTTTCGGTTTATTAAAAATGACTGGCAATTTCCTGTGCACGCTCAGGAAATAGCAGTTTGATAATTTACTGACTGGTGATGATGCCATGATGGGTACTGCTGTGCTCTTTGTTATTCATCCAATTGCATTTCATCTCCTTTTGCTGATGAAAGGACGAAATAGTCTGTGAGGAAATACTTTATTTCTTTCAAATATTGGTTTTTATAAGTAATATTGAAAATAGCATCTTAAGGCTGTGCCCTTTATCTTGAAAGACAAAACCAACAAGTAGTGACGTAGGGGTGGTGGTGCTTTAGCAACAGAAGTTGTTTTACTGGAGGTTTGTTTTTTAGAAGTAGAGAGGTTTTTTTTAAAGTAAAATTTCTACTGGACTATATGTTTTGACAAGTCAAAAATACTACTTCAGAAGAAGAACATAGCATTTTGGAAACTGTACAGTCTTTTTTTTCCCATTCTCTTTTTGCTTTCTGTGCCAATAATTTTAGTTCTGACTGCATTTTGAAAAATGTTTGTCAGAACTTCTTCAAATTTTTATTTACAGTGTGACTTATAAGCTTGGATAGCTGTTGTTTTTGTGTTAAACCAGATACCTTATTAAATTTAGGCATTAGCTTGATTTTTTTTTTTTTTTTTTGTTAAGGAGTGAGTGTTTTCTATTTTTGTTCCTTTGAAATTGGTGAGGCTTAGTTTTTCTAACTGTATTTTTTTACCTGATTGTTTAGTTGCATACCCAAACCCTTGTAAATGTTTTCCTAGTTGTATGTGGATAATGGGAGATTTAAATGTTGTATATACTTGTCATCTGTGTTTCTAGTAAAAATACATGGCATTCTTTATAGAAATACTTAATTCCTGATTTCCTTTTCTTATCCACTTGCTCTCTGTGTACAGGTTAAACAGACTTTGCTCCTATTTTTATTTATAGAATTTTATACGTAGCCTCTTAAAAGTTATCATTGGTTCTTGTGTAAACTGAGATACAGCCTTAAATTTCCGAACATAATGCTCATTAAGATACTGTTAGTCATGTAGATTCAAATATAAAACATGCATGTTTAAGACTGGTACTCTTCAGAGATCCAAGACACTAAATTGATTCTGCATTGAAATATAAACCCTTCAAGATCTTAGAGAAGGAAAGTGCAGGTCAGCGTGCATACACTTAAAGAAGATTGAATTCTTTCCAAAAAAAGTATTTTGATATAGGAAAGAAGCAACATGGATTTGTTGAGGATTTAAATTATTTTGGTAATTGACTGCGTAAGTCTTAAACATAATGATTGCAGCATGCTAATTAGTCATGATGTTTATGCAGAAATATTGTCTCTTGCAACTGTTTACTATGATCTGTTGCAATTAATATTGCAGACAGGCTTGGGGTGGGTGGGGGTGTTTAGGTGTTCTTTTTTTGTTTTGTTGTCGCCCCTGTCCCCCTCGCCCCCAAAATTAAGATCTGACGTGCTATGTACTTTTAGATTCTTTTTAGCTTTAGAGGATGAATTACTAAGGAGCAGTTTGGAGCATAGAAGTTCCTCAATTTGATGTTCTCGTGGGATTTTTTTTTTTTCTCCCATGTTGAACAAAATATGATAAAGCATCTCATTCTGTTTGTATATTATGCACTTGTTAGTTCTTGAATCCTTTCTATAGCCTCAGTTATTGCAATGGGCTTTAGGTTCTGGTATGACCTGTGTCTGTGCTTAAATCTTTTAAAGCTTCTTTGGAAAGACACTAGTTTTATTGAAGTCTCTTGAAAATAGTAAACAGTATATCTTTGATCCCAGTGAAATGGAGCATTTAATTTGTAAAAATTCCCATCTATTCATACCATGTAATGTGATTTTACATGATTCAGTGCTAACACTTTGGAGTATATTCAAGTAATAGACCTTGGCCTCACCCTCTTGTATACTGTATTTTGTAACAGAAAATATTTTAAACTGTGCATATTATTATTACATTATGAAACCGACATTCCCTTGATCTTCAAATGTAAGAAAATGAGGAATGTGTGTGCTTTTATAAATACAAGTGATGGCAAATTCAGTTTCCTTACTACTGCAGGTGTCCTTTTTTAAAATAAAAAAAAAGCAAGGAAAAAAAAAAAGCCAAGTGTTTTAAAGGTGAAATACATTCCTATTTGGTAAACCTTAACATTTTTATGACAATTACCAGCACTGCTGACTTTCTAAACAAACGGCTGTATTGTCTTCCTGTACCATTCCATTTCCTGATTCCCATTTTGCGCAAGGATGTATGAGTAAACTATTCAAGAAATGGTTTTGAAATACAGTAGGGGGGCTTGTCTAAGTTGGAATGCAGAATTGCAATGCAAAATGTAAGGAAATGGAAGTCTGTCAGAATGCCTGACTCCAAAGGATTTTATATATATAGTAAAACGGTTTCCTGATACCGGCAGGCCAAAGAGTCTGTTGAATACTTGAGTTTCTGAAGACCTATATTTCTCAACAAGGTAAGATGGTATCCTAGCAAATGCAGATTTTAATACATTTTCAGCAGAGGTACTTACTTAAGTTTAGGGATCATATCATCTTTTTTAGATGTTATACTTGAAATATTGCATAACTTTTAGCTTTCATGGGTTTCTTTTTTTTCAGCCTTTAGGAGACTGTTAAGCAATTTGCTGTCCAACTTTTGTGTTGGTCTTAAACTGCAATAGTAGTTTACCTTGTATTGAAGAAATAAAGACCATTTTTATATAAAAAATACTTTTGTCTGTCTTTATTTCAATTTGTCTAATATCTTTGCAGTGCTCCTTATGTCAGAGTCTTTTCAAATATTCAGACATTAAAACTTAAAGCATGAACATTCTAATGTAGTTATAGCTAGATTCTGTGCTATAATTATTTCTGAATCTAGAAATAGTTCTGTTCATACTAGCTCTTGTCCTGCTCATCTGGTCTTTAAAGACTTTTTGCAGAGTTTAAAATCAATGAGAAGTGCAGACTTTTTTTAAGCCAACCTTTTTTTATGTCAGTCATTTTTCTGTAAAATGCAATGACCCGTGTGTAATGTGTCAACTGAAGGAAAAAAAAAAAACCAAAAGCCGGCTGCGTAAAGCAATTTTGGTCTCTTAAAATTACATTTTCAGAATCAAATGTGTACTAATGTTTGGAGCTGTGGGCTTGCTATATAGGAGGCATTAAACCAGTGATAATAAACCTTTTTATTTTAGTCTGGCTTCTTAAGTTGACTAAATCTGGCAAATGTTAATCATTACAAAGCACATGTGTGTAAACACAGCAGTGGTAAAACACCTGTATGGCAGGTTGAACTGTTGTCAGCTCATCTCATGCAGACAGTTGGTCTGGTACCAACGACAGTATCCATCCTGTAATGATTTAAAACTACTTTTGGCACTGTGGTTTCATGGCCAAATGTTTTACTCTCCTGCTAAATCAGAACATTGTATATGTAAAACACATCTCTATGTTATATACAAAAAGTCATTAGCATTGCCATACTGTGCCATACTAATGGTGAACTTTTCATAATTCATAATTTTTGTTGAAGTTCATTTACTGTAGCACAAAATGAGCTATATCCATTGTACCATTTTAGATTACTGGTACCATTTTGCAGTGTTGTTGGCTCCAACTTCTGTCTGTGACAAGCTGCCAGCATTTGGCAGTGGTAAGATTATGTGAGAATGCTGATTTTCATTTGGGAAAATAATTTTTTCTAATTTTTATAGCTTCAAAAAGAAGTCTGAAATGCAATCTGATTGGCTTGGAAAATCACAACATTCATGATTTTATTTAAACATGATTTTTTGAATGAATGAAGGTGGGCGATTGTACAGGTCTGTGATGAGGAAACAAAACGCTCATTAGAAAATTAACCTGAATTTCTTTGGCTAGTGCTCTAAACCTGTAGTAACAAAATAACATTCCCTTACTTTAAAGGGCTCAAATTTTAATTGTTCAAAATAGCAAGCAACAGGATAGCAAAACTAACTTGGCCACTGATTATTTATGGCACTATGTCTGAATTTCACAGTTAAAGCTGGGTTTTTAACTAGATGAGCATGGGTTGTAGCTTGGCTTCATTGACAGAGTGAAGGTTTGGGCAGAGGTTAAGGATGTTGGGCTGTGGCTGGTGGGGTTCAGGGGTCTCCAGGTTTCCTTCTGGGTGGAGAGCATAGGAGAAAATCGTTGCTAACTTGATTTTAAAGTACCTTGTTGCAATTTTCCTCCAGGTTAGGGTGTTCAGCAGTTCCCATTGCTGAATGGGAGAGAATTGTAAAGCATCCTGTCCCCAAAAACACAGGATGTATACCCTAAGATAAACACAGTGAGGATTCTGTAGTACATGGATGAATTCATTGCGGAAGCATTCAAGCGTAGGTCAACTAGCCAAGATGCCAGATCATCAAGGTATGATTTGAAACGGTTTCGGGAGAACAAGGAAGGTAAGCACTCTTGAGTATGGTTTTTAATCTTCCACATGGGGAAAATATCATCCCTAGAGACAAGGAAATAATTTGATTAATGCTTACTAGGAAGGCTGCTTCTTGCTCAATTCTACTTGCAAGAACCTTGTCTCCAACCTTTTTCAGTGTCCTCTCTGTAGCTGCTGCAGATTGAAAGGCCCAGAGCCTGAGGTGAGCTGGAGGGAGAGATCCTACTGGAATGCAGGCTTCAGCAGAAGATTATTGTCCTTGGTTGTTCTCCCCTCCAGTGCCCAGCAATGTGGAAACTGGTGTAAAAGCTTCTTCTCTGCCACCTCTTGCTGCAGGCAGGCTGGCCTCAGAAAAGAGGGCTAACCTTCCCATCTACCCTATCCTCTGAGGGCTACAAACAAACAAACAAAAAACCAAAAACCAAAATGACCCCCACCAGGATAAATCCATTTCTGAGCACAGCTATGCTGGCTGAGTAGCATCATTCTGTGGCCCTTAATATTGACTGGTAAGTTTTGGGGAGGAGAGGGAGGTGGAAGAGGAAGGCAGGGGAGCCTAAAGCAGTCATTTTTGTGAGCCATGGGTTCTTATGCTAGCTGCAATTGAAGGGTCATTTCTGGACTGCAGGAACTGTGAGGTAGCTCTGGGTTCTTGTGCGGATGTTCTGCTGCGGGTTTTGCAGCCCAGGCGGTGGGACAGTGAAGTCCCCAGGACATCTTCATGCAGAGAGAAAGTCATCTGCTACTGCCCCCATTCTGAGCCAGCCTCACTGAAGGCACTACTGAACTTTCTCGTCTTGCAAAGCTGGCATCTTGCTTCATTTCCTGCCAATAGAGGAGCATTACTGATCGGTGAGAGGCTTGAGGTTTTTGAAATTTGTCTCTGTGGAAATGAAAGACACCTAAGCACCTGCTGGGAAGCAGACATTGAGTAAGTAGAGTCCTTTTTGACCCCTGTTACATTTGAGGAGGGGAGAGATGCTCAGGTTCAGAGTATTAGTGCTGTTCTCTACCTTTTTATTCTCCTCTGGTTTGTCCTTCAAACCTTTTCATAATATTGCAGCTGGTCCAGGGGAGATGGTAAGTTGCAGAAGAGAAGAGCAGCAGAAAGCAAATCAAACTCCAAAATCAGCAGAGCAAAGTCTGTATGAAGCTGTGAAAGGTAAGTTTGTTTGTGCAGGCTGAGTAAAGGAAGATACAGGTTGTAGCAGCTGCGTACTTTATGATCACAAAGATACCTTTTTTACAAACATTATTACAGGAAAATCAGACGCAGGTACCTGAATGTCTTTATTTGCAACTCATCCTGAAATGCTGGACTATAACAAATCATGACATGCCATGCAAGGAAACACTGATTTAATCATTTTGGGGGCAGAACCTCTGTTTTGCATTGGGAATTACCCGAGTCCTCTTGAAGGCCTATAGCATCACACTCTCAGAAATGAGATAGTCAACTGAGAAGGATGTTTGCCAAATTAACCTCTGTGTTTTCCCAAAGATAACCACCTGGTAGCATAGCATATTTGTTAAAGGAATGCAGTCTGCACACTCGATGCTTCCAACAGTGGGTTTGGCATATCCTAAAGTAGTTAAAGCATGACACATCTGCCTGACTTTCTGAATGCATCTTGGCTTACAACACAGATTACTCCAAACATAGTGAAGAATTTATTTTTAAAGAGTTGATGCTCTTTTGTGTGCTACAAGAGCAGGTAAAGCTGCTGCTGCTCAGGAGAGTTTGGCGTATAAGAGTTGGACAGTTAACTGGGACTGCAAGAGGAAGAAAGTGTATTGGTCACATTGAATTTTTATCTATTTTACCTCTTAAAAGATCCAGAAGCAAGCGATTGCTTCTGAAAAATGTAAGTAAATGGCTGGAGGTGGGGAGATGATAAGCCTGCCCCACATCCCAGAAAAGTAACTTGCTGGGAGATGTATAGGAGAGAGCCTTTGGAGAGGCAACAGAGAGAGGCCAGAGTGAGATGGGAACATACTTCCTTTCTTCGGCTGGAGACTTTGAAAGGAGGGGTGTGTGAAAGGTGCAAAGCAGTTTGATGCAGGGGCAGCTAGGGGAGGGCAGCGCATTTATTTTCAAGGATGTTGCAAGCTGAGAGGTGCGGTGCTGTCCCTGGGGCGAGGGAAGGGAAAGGCTGGTGCTAAACGAACAGATGGAACTTTTGCTGGTTAAGTTTTGAGATGGAAGTGAGTCAGAAAAGAAACTCTCCCTTTTCTTTTGGTCACGTAACATATAGGAAACAGTGAGATGTTGGTCAGCTCACGCTTTTAATGCTGAGTCACAAAGTATACGGTGTTCAAAAGTAATCAAAAATTTTCTGCCTTTCTTACTCTGCTCTTTTACTGCTCCTGAGAGGCGGTGTAAAAAACAATTGCAAGCCATTTTTATTTGTAGAAATACAGGTTACAGGTCTTTTTGCTGCAGGTAGAAGATTACGATCCCTTTTAATTATCTGAATCTGTTTATCCATCTGTTCTAAACAATTTGCAGAAAATTGTTAGCACTCTGTTTCTCATCAGACTGCAGTAGCTGTAAGTTTTCTAAACCTTGTGCCCTTTGTATAAATGGGAAATAGAATTAATTTCTTCTCAAACAGGGTTTCCCAATTTTACAGAAATGACAGGTGTTTTTAAATATGTGTGTATATATATATTGCTGAACATTTTTTCCAAAACACTTGAATCTACTTGGCATTGGCACTCATTGAGTAGATTTTCTTTTTATCCTGTATGTTAATGGTGAGGTTGGGCCCCTAGGTGTTCTGTCACACAAGGAAGGATATGTTCAAAGTGGTGCAGCTGTGCCCAAGTGGTGTAAAAGGGTTTCTTCCTGCCATCTAGTGGCATGAAAAAACCTCTCCACTCCTCTTGGCTTTAATGAGATTAAATTAAATCTCATTAATTGTTATGTCTGTGACCCTTGTTTTGTCTAATTACTGTGATATCCGCACATGAGTCATTTATCCCACATACCCACCTCCTTATGAGTTATGAGCTTTGTCAGCAAAACTAGATTTGATAATCCTCAACTGCCCTAAATTTAAGAAGATAAGATGGCAGTTGCTTCTTCCACGAAAAAAACAAGCTGTATTTTTTTTTTTGTCCTTGCCTTGACACTTCATGAAAAAGTCCTTGTTCCTTGCCTTATTTTCTGCCTATTATTTCGAATACTTTCTGAGTGCGCTGCTGTTAGATTCCTGTGCCTGTTTTCCTATATAAATATACTTGGAGTGAAAAAAATACTTTAATGCTCAGAAGCCTTTCTTTGACACTGAAAACGCTGGAAGATACTGTCCACACAGGCAGAGAAAATGTTGGCTGTAGTTGAATGCATCTCTAAAACCTGGCAGAAGATGGGTGGGTTCCGGTGTGGAACAGGCAGTGTTTGCCTCTGAAGGAGCAGGGAGCTCTACAGAGTTACTGTATTTCAGAGTGGTTGAACTGACGCTTAAAACCGATCTCTAAAGCTCGCTGGTATCCCCTTTCCCTGTAACACATCCAGGCAGAGCCATCTACTTCTTTTTGACAGACAGGCAGCTACCCTCGCCACCTTTTACAATCTGCAGACTGTGCTTCACTTAAAAAATACGTGGCTCTGCCCGGATGTGTTACAGCTCCGCGCTGGTGGGAGGGGACGAAAACAGAGACCATTCATCCCAAACAGAATCCTTATTCATGGGTCAAGCTATAAGGGACTTGAGCTCTCCCACCTCAAAAAGTTAATTGGAGCCTATCCATAATTAAAACTGTAGTTCTCACTTTCCTAAATCATTTAGCCTGGAATCTTTGCAAGATGTAGGTCCACAGCCCCCACTTTGTCAAAGACCTGTAGTGTGAGGGTAATGAAAATGGTGAACAGTGTAGAACGGCCAACAGAGCCCTGCAGAATAAACTGTTGGAAATAATGTCTAAATTGTGTGGTGGGTTCTTTTTTTAATACATAAAGTACTTTGAATGAAAAGGGTCAGAGAAGGCCAATGTTTTATTAGCAGCTATAAAAACAGATGAGTGATTAGCCTTTTTCTCTACAAGAAAAGCTGTATTTTGAGCTTCTCTGTGTAAGTATAAATTCTCCATAATGATTAAAGCTATCTGCTGGCTGGCTTCCATCTCAGCTGGAGTCCAGGAAAATTTTCTTGGTGTTTCTTTCACAGTGTTAACAGTATGATACTTCAGAAAAATAACTTCTTTTTTCCTGTCATGTGGGATCCCTACTGTGCCCTCTTAATTTTAAGTTATCCCCTGACTGTTCCATTCAGTTATTTATAATATTAAAAAAAAGTAATTTTATGCCTTTTACTCAGAATGAATTTAGAAATAAAACTCTTAACCTCTACATTATCACCTTCAGCATTTTTTTTGTTATAATAACCTGCATTATCACCTCCTTTAGCATTTTTTTGGTTATAATACAGTAATAACTAGCTTGGATTTTTAACTGTGAGGGGCTTGGGTGCATTACTGAAGAAGGGAAGGTTTCTAAAAATTCAAGTCTTTATTTAGAAAACTGGCAAGTTACCAAGACCAAAAAAGTGTTACCACCAAATTAAATTAATAGTCTGTTAAAACCATCGGGGTTAGCAAGAGGGACAGCGGTATAGTGTTCATTGCTGGAGCCAGGTTTGTGCTACCTCCAGCTGCGCCTGATCCTTGGAGCAGGCGGCCTCTTCCCCCACTCAGGTTCGTCCTTTGCAGGACTGGAAGAAGTTTGAGGAAAGCCTCATATGACACATGTGCAGGGTCAACTCCTGAGAGATTGTATGTAATGCCCTTACGAAGAATAAAAATGTTCCCACCTCTTTTCAACTTGAAAAAAAATGGCAAATTTAAAACCACAATTCTGGAATTAAATTTTGGATTGACCTAACCTGGGTAAGGATGCTGAGGCACCTGGTAATTTTGGTAACCTCCAGTTTCAAGTTGGAAGTTGTTCTTTATTTGTGTATGCCAGTATCCCTGTGCTGTCTGAGGGAGTTGTGAAACGTAAAGGCGGCTGGCAGGAGAAGGACTTGGCTCTGTGAGGAGCAGCCAGCTGCTTGTACGTGGCTCATTTCTTTCACAACAGCAGCATATGATAATGCTTCACGGTGGCAGATCACGTGCAGCAGGCCCCAAAAAAAGGTTGGCAGAAGCAGGTTCAGCACCTGTGTTCTTCAGGGCACTCCCAGCCCTTTGCTATGGGCAGGAACCTGGGAAATGGTCTAGTGCAAACATTCCCATCCATTTCCAGTCCTTCCCATGTCATTTCGTTGCACAGATTTTTTCATTCCACTTTCATTCTACAAAGGTTTTCCCCCGTGGCTGGCCGTATGCCACAACCTACTTGTGACTCTGAAACTGACTGCTCTGAAGACTGCCCCATTTGAGGTGATTTCCTTTGTTTCAGTAGGCGCAGAGCACGCAGTGCAGTTCCCCACACAATGCCAGCATTGGAGCGATCAGCAGACAGATGAGAGGACAAACACCTGCAGGGCTACTCCTTTCCACTGCAGTGCTGTGGGGAACAGCAGGGCAAGAGCTTGCAGTTGTTTGTCAGGTGGAGGTAAAATGGAGCGAGGCCAGGGGCCATGGAGAGGGTGCTGATGGTGGTAACGGGCTGGCCTGGAGGGAGGGGGGTAAAGGAGGTTCGGGGTTTTGTTTCCTTTCATTTTAAGCAAGTGTGGGCAGGGTGATTGGAGGGCGTCACCCTGAAGCTTAACAAGGACGTGCTTCATGGACACCTTGCAAAACATTCTGTGACACATCACTGTTTCGGCAGACTTCATAGGAATTTGCAGTATCGGTTCAAACAGGAGTCAAATTCCTGCCGGGGCTGTGCTTATTCACCTTCGTAATGGGCAAGGCGCTTCCCCTGGTCGTGCTGTGGGCTGTGGTTGAAAGGCATTAGTTCCTGTACATGGCCATAGCAGGTGAGGAGTGAAGCAATCTCTGATTGCCCAGGTTTGCAGGTTGACAGGAGCAGAGGCCATGGGCACAAACTGAAGCACAGGAGGTTCCCTCTGAACGTCAGGAAACACTTTTCACTGTGAGGGTGACCAAGCACTGGCACAGGTTGCCCAGGGAGGTTGTGGAGTCTCCATCTTTGGAGATACTCAGAAGCCGTCTGGACACAGGCAGCCGTCTCTAGGTGGCCCTGCTTGCGCAGAGGGGTTGGAGCAGATGACATCCAGAGGTCCCTTCCCACCTCAACCGTCCTGTGATACCCTAAAGTTCAAAGCATGGCTTCAAGTACCCCATTTGGCACTCAGCAGTAAAACAAGCAGATCAGCCAGGGTTGGCAACATCTGCAGCTGGCGGACTGCTGCTGGCAGGGGAATGAGGCAGTAACGGTGAATATTTCTGTTTGACCAAGAGACAGCCACACATTTCTGACCTGGTATTTAGAAATACTAATTGTGCATTGCAAGACAGGAATTTCTTATGATTTTTGTTTCTTCCCTGTTGGTGACAGCACAGTTCTAGTTATTAGAGTCAACTTAAAAATAAGAGGATAAAAATAATGAAAGTAACAAATGTAAATTTGAAGACTAAGAAGGTTTTAGCTGCATTTATCATGAAGAAATGGAGACCTTTACTGGATAGCTATGGTATTTAGGTGTCCCTTTGCCTAGTTACTTATTGCCCTTAGCAGAGGTCAGATAAGAACGCAGGTCTCCCAGGCTACTTGATTGACTATGAGGCAACATTAATCCTCAAAAAAGAGAAAGAAGTGCAATTTACAGTTGTTAAAGTGAACTAGCAGATACCATGATGCAATCAGTATCATCGAGGGGCTTAGCATGGAAGATGGAGTCTAGGGGCAATGTTAGAAGCTGCTGTTCTCTAACAGACTTGCGATTTGAAGTGGGACACTGAAAAGCTGATCTCTTAAAGAGGTTGCTGAACGTGAGAGAGATGATTTTCCAGCCCACCTATCAAAGTTCCTGCAATTCCCCATGCAAAGCTGCCCTAACAAAGCAAATCAAATAAGATTGTATGCAGGCATACTGTTTCTTGCCAGCATTTTCCTTCTGAAATGAATTCAGCAGATCTGAATTTCAAAGTCTAGTAAAAAGTAACCAGCTTTGAATGTCATTAAAAAGTAGATCCGCTTGCAGTAGTTCAGCTTCCCCATGCCCACTGAAAAAAAAACCTGTACAAGCTGAACCTCAGGGCTCCAGATTAGCTGTAAAACCCACTTCTGCATGTTAATTCCACTATCAAAGCATTAACAATACATAGGTGCTGGGGGCTAGTGCTGGGAGCTTTTCATGCTTCACCATTTGGGGAGATCTTAGAGGAAGGTTGATTCGTCATGGGTGTTAAGGAGGCTGCACATGCTCCTTCCTCCCCCGTTGCTCCTGCGTGATGCTCCATCTCACTTGCTAGTGACTGGCTCGACGGCCCCCGTGCACCCCGAGCCCTGATAAACCCAGCATTGCTCCTGACGCCACGTAAGAACAGACAGCAAGTGGCGTGACAAGGTTGCTTATATCGATACGCAAATGATGTACTGCCATACTTCAGCACTTGACTAGAAAAAACACCTTTGCAGAGCCAGAGGATAACGCAGTAATTATGCCAATTAAAACTTCTTTATCTCCTAAGGCTATTTTTGTTAGGTCGTTAATGGCGATAGATTTATGATGAGCAGTAACTATGCAGTAAAACCAGGACTTTGATAATAATTTCATAACAAATCTGAGTAGCAGAGTTTAGATAGCAAACTGCCTCTTTGGTAGGTATTGCAACAGAGTTTAAACAACATTTTTCTGAGATAATGTTACTCTGTCCTCCTATGGCTTTCCATATTGTATAAGAAATTTGACAATTTTGCAGTGATGTTTTAAGTGTTGGGAAATGCTCGTGTACTGAAGAGGCTGCATTTCTGGTTACTACGGAGCAGAGGAACCAAAAGGGGGTGGGAGAAGGTTAAGAGATGAGCCAAGCGCAGGAGAGCCTGCGGTCTCGGTGTTCAGAGGCTGTGTGCACTCCCCTGGCAACATCAAGTCTTGGCTACTCCTTCCATTTTGCCTCCTACCCCTGGCTGCTCAGGGGAAGGTCTATGAGAGGTGTGAGCTGGCAGCAGCTGTGAAGCGTCTTGGACCGAATAACTTGGGAACACAGCCTGGGACTCTGTAAGTCTGCTCTTGTGGCTTCCAGGGAGCACGTGGGGTGGGCATTTCCATTTAACAAGCTTTGTTAAAGTGAGCAGGTCCATGTGAATGCCAGAGCTTAGAGGTTAAGATCCCATCAGGTTAGTCCATCTCTGCTGGCACAGACTGAAGCAATAGGACGAGAGGAAACAGCCTCAAGTTGCGCCAGGGGAGATTTAGATTGGAAATTAGGAAAAATTTCTTCACCAACAGGGTTGTCAAGCATTGGAACAGGCTGCCCAGGGAAGTGGTTGAGTCACCATCCCTGGAGGTACTTACAAGACGTGTAGATGTGGCACTAAGGACATGTTTTAGTGGTGGACTTGGCAGTGTTAGGTTTACGGTTGGACTGGATGATCTTGAAGGTCTTTTCCAACCTAAATGATTGATTCTATGATTCTATTTTCTACCGCTTTTCTCCTATCTCTTTCCTGCTCTTCCACAGTCTAATAGAGCTGTAGTCATCAGGAAGCTTTTCCCAGGAGCAGCCTGTCTCATCACACCTCCCCAGTTCCTAACTGCGCCGCTTTTACTTGCTGCAGTTCCTTCCTCTGCCGGTCATCTGCCTGCGGTGGCTGGGCAGCTGGAGCGGGGCAGGCAGGTGAAGCTGAGGAGCAAGCAGGAGTGGGAGCGCAGAGCAAGACAGGCGGCCGGGCAGAGGCACTGCTATGGGACCCAGAGACAAGGAGTAGTGGGGCAGCGGCAACAGACTATTGTTAAACCCATTTCATTTGGAGGGAAGCGCACATGGGCTCTGATCCCCGGTCTGGGGAGCAATCCATGTGTTGGTCACGGGATGTTCATGTTTCAAATGAGAACCACTGTCCCCATCCCTCCTCCTTCCTGCTGTCCTGATGCAGATGCAGCAGCACATCAATAGGACAAAATAGGGCTGGTAGGTCACGAGGAGAGAAAGCAAAGCCCTGAGCGTGGCCCCTCACCAAAACCTCTGCTCCTGCCTTGGTGAGCGGGTATTTGTGCAGCGAGAAGCTCCACGGGCGCGTGCCTGGCGGCAGGAGCAAGGTGAGCAGGTCTGTTTGGATATGTCTGCAGTGGTTGCCAAAAGCACCCTTGGGGCCACGCGCGAGAGCAGCTCTGCCTGCTGCGGCTATCGACAGCTTCAAAGTGTGACAGGAGCTGCTGCTGCAGAGTACACCCTGCCTGCCACAGCCCACCCGCTAGTCCATGTCCCATGAGATGTGTGTGCAGCTGGGCCACCCGCACTCGTACGGGCAGGAGCCAGCAAAGAAACAACGTTATCTTATCTTTGGCAGGAATTATTTTTTTGGCCATTCCCAGTGTCTGCATTTTCACCCTTAAGGCAGTAACAGTGGTGAGAGGGCCCCAACACTCCACTGGTTTCCTGAGTTTCCTTACTTGCGCTTCATTTCTGTCCAGGTGAAGGCCAGCATTGATTAAATACGGTCAGAACCACTGCATAAATTGGATGCGGTAGTATTTTCCGCTGTTGTTTTTGTGGAAATGTATGTTGGGCTTGATTTGTGCTTCTATATAGAGAAGCATACTGGAATTTATTTCCAAAAGCAGAAATCCTATGTTGGGTTTTCCAAGGACATTTTGAAGTTAAGACACGTTGCATGTGGTTTTCGTATTTGGTTGAATTAAAGAATAAAAGGACTCCCCATATCATATGCATTCCCTATACAATCATATTTTTGATTTTCTGTATCAGAATCACGGATCTCAGAGACCAGCAGCCAGTGGTGGTGCAATGGTGGCAGGACCCCGAGGGCCAAGCACGTGTGCAACATCCCCTGCTCAGGTGAGCTTGGTTTCTGCAGGTGGTGCTGTGATGGGCTGCCCTCTCATATTCCAGTTGCAACTAGATTAGCAAAGGCTGGTTACAGTCGAAGCAGAACAACGTTCAAGCCCATCCTTCCTCCTTTCCAAAGGGAGGTCTGCAGGGCAGTCATCACACACGGGAGGAAAAGGTTTCTTTACAGCTGGAACTGCATCATTCCCCTTTTTGTCCGTCTTAATGTTTCTAAAGAGGTTTCCACAGAAGCTGTTTATTAATTAGAAGTTACACTAACCTCAGGAAATTTAATTGTTCTTTGAAGAGAGGAGGGCTTGACCGCTTGCAAAAGACTGGCCCACATGCCAGTCTTGCCAACTTGCTTCATTTTAACGAGAAGAGCTGTAATACTTCAGAGCTGAGCAGCACTGTCCACGTAAGATCTAGTTCAGGCAAGGAAAGGGGTAGGGAATTTTTGCTTCCCGGGAGTGGGTTAGGCATGGCGTTCACCATCTTCTCATCTGCCAGGAGTCCTGACACGTTTTGGGGGGCCACGGGAAGGAGAGCTCTGGAGAGCGGTCTGCAGGCAAGGTCTGGCTGCGGCTCTCCAGAGGAGTCCTCCGAGTTCCCCGGTCCATCGTAGGAATGGACAGAGCTGGGCTGACCGGAGGGTGCAACTGGGGCACAGAGCAACACTGCAAATCAGCAACTACCTCAAATGAAATTTCATCTCCTCCTGAAATGGAGAAATTAATTACCTGTGGGTCAGCACAGCCCCTCACGTGTGACCCTGCTTAGGAGCCACGCAGGCATCGCTCCGGAGTCACCAGCAGTTCAGAGAGAGCAGGTGGGCTCATGCAGCGATACAGCGCAAACCCACGTCCACATGGACTTCTGGCTTCATTCAGCCCAGCAGGCAGGCAAGCTCTCTGCCCCAAAGTGAATCAATAACGTAAAGATGCTCGTCAGGCCTGCTACTTCTGGTAATTAACATGGTTTTAAGAGTTGTCTGTCCTCTGCTGCTGTTCGGAGTACCGTGGGAAGCTGTCTGCCTTCCTACAAGAACAAGGAAACATTTCGATCATATATTGTTATATTCAGCTGTGCTAGAAGGCAATGTAAGTAATGGGTCCTGCTAAGCCAACTCATTTTGATGAAGACAAGGACTGCCAACCCGAGTTGCTCACACCTAAGCAGAATGAAATGGTGTCAGTTCATTTTCAATACCTTGTTCCCCCAAAGAACCGTCAGGTTCACAGAGCAAACACAATGGCAACGGCTGGAATCTTTCCTTCTCATATCTTTTTATACTTTTCTTAATTATGGGCGTTACTCGCGTACAACTTTGAACCAGAAGCATAACTTGTTAGCTTGCGGTGAGATACCCCTTTTGCTGTACTACAGCCCAACTGAAGAGTTATCTACCAAGACGATCAACTGACAACGCAGTTATTTACCCATGGCCAAAGGAGCTTGGTTGCAGATCAACCATAAAATGGTGGCAGAAACTAGTTGTTGTCACCCTAGTAGCCTCATTTATATTTTAACTTTACCTTGCAAAGATAAATGCATGGAATGCAGCATCATCTTGCAGCCTAGTTTATTTTGCATCATTTGTAGACTTGCTTCACTGGATTTATTCTGCTTGTATTCTGGTAATTGAAAGTTGCCAGAGGAAAGGTCTTTGCTTTTCCTCAGAAACTAGAAAGAGAAGAATGCAGAAATTGCCACACATCTCTGGCTTTTGGTCTTACTGTCTAGAAGACAAGATGATGTCTTACCAAAGACAGTGATATCCTATATATTCCAAAGATGTACAAAAATTCCTGGAGCAGTCAGCCCATAGACCGAGTATTTTGAAGTTCAGAGCGGCTGCACAACTTCGGGCATGCTTGCCACCCTCCTTTTTCCCTTTTCTTGTGCCTGACAGAGGCTTTTCCCTCCCATTGCCTCCGTCAGGACGTGCCGCAGCCCCACCGGACCGCTCTGGGCTGCCTCCTCCGACCCGGCACCGCCCGGCCCCTCGGGAACGGCCCGCAGTGACACCGCTGAGCACCAGCACACACCGGCTGAGGCCGTGTCTGAAGGCTGTTGCAGTAACAATATGACAAGAAGAAAAACATACTGGCGTAATTCCCTGCCTCCTTTTTTAAGCACTGCCGAGCTCGGCCAGAACAGCGTCCGTGACCTGCGCAGGGGGCTGCAGCCACCGGCCCGGCCCGGCCCGGCCCGGCCC